AAAACACTTAATTTCTTGTTAAGAAGCAATTCATTTAATTAACACCGTGGTGTCGATGATGTTATGAGGGAACATCATCGACCTCTCTTTTAACAACACAGAACGCTTTAAAACTGATTAATATTTCTACAACAGTAATATTTACAGTTTGAGGAACAACTTATTGCAATTACCACTAGATTTGATAGCTTTTGAACGCTACGGTACACGACTGGCGATGCCCAGGGTCACCTCTAAGAATATGCGGTAAGGTAATTAGTTTGAAACTAAGAATATCAATAAAATAGGTCGACTCGAGGATTTCAAATCGCTTCCCGTATGCAAACAGGAAATTGATAGTTGAGCCAACATGAATTTCTTAACCGAGCCATTCCTTAAATAGAATGCAAACGTCAGACCGTGTTTCTGATATTTTCGTCAAAGACAACCCTAGCTCATCGTCAACCAACGCTTGAGATTTATAGGAATTGTATGTCAAGATTTAGCTCATTCAAGTCTGGTCTACAATAAAGTGGTTCCGGATGTATGCATAAGAGTTAAATTTGTCAACGCTTAGTTGTCTTTGTACTTGTATATGAACAATCGGTAATACTACGCAGAGGTCATTTCCCCCATCTGATGAACGGCTATTCAAAATGCCAAGAAATCGTGTATTTTTTTGAGGATTTAAAAGGATTACGATTTTAAAGTAATGAACTGTTAAATAGGTTGAAAATAACCACGAGAGGCCATTAAGAAGAACCTTGGAATATTTTATTACACAAAACCATCCCTGGAATAAATTGTCATTATTTTGTAGGTTAGAATCACTGCGGTTTGCTTCAGTTTCCCATTGTACTTGCGGTTAGCTTGCGGGTCACTGAAAAAGATAATTACTTTCCTGAAAAGAGAGTCTATTATTCTTTATTGCTAACTGACCTTATCGGTCACTTTTATCCTTCGTCGTTCCAAAAAAAAATTAAGAAAGTATTCGGGTTATCTGTACGTCGCGACAACACATGAGTTTCGGGTTCCTTTGACCTCAGCGTATCAAATGAATAGATTTTCCAAGTTTATCAGGAAGAATTTTCGGTGTGATCATTTATTTCTAAAGCGCTCACGCGTTTGGCTTCTTCTTGGCGCTAAGTAAGTAAACTGAAGAGGCGCGCAATACTAAGCCATTATCGATACTAAACATCCCGTTGGAGGCTCTAAAGGAAGCTTCAAACCTAGGTAAGTTGTTCTCTTATTTTGTTTGTTATGACACATCTCGAAAATCAATTTCGAAAAATAGCATTAGCATTTAATGTTTTCTTGTTTTGAGAGGGAGGACTAGCTAAGTAGGTGGCTCTTGATTCAACTTGAATCAAAGGCCTGAGGCAAGAATCAAGCTCAGATAATTTAAATGAAGACGATGTTTGGTGAAAGGTTTTTCAAGCGCCGCCATTTAGATGGGCTACAATAAAAACTGTTCCTGATGTATTTTAAAAAGGCCGAAATTGAAGCAAGAGGCTCCCCAAAAATGGATGGCTCTCTGTAATTGGCGTATTGTGTATACTTGGAAAGAATGTTCGTCGGTTGAAAGCAATTTATTTTCTCGATGGGGAATGCTTGCATGATATCCCAAAAGAGTGTCTGCGAAGGTGACTAAAAGAACTGCCTGTTGTGAAATGATATGCCTAAAATTGAAGGGATCTCTAGAAGTTATCAATTGCGAATGCTGACCCCGAATAGTGGCTCTACGCCAAAAGTGATTATTAATTGCATTTTCTGACTGTTTGCACGCAAAGCTATTGGCATACAATAGCTCCTTCAAGGCCTCAGGAATAGCTTGCCTTTTGAAAAATAAGTTTGCTTGAAACCAGCGGGGGATTGATTATGTAAGCATATGATAACCAGATCCTAAAAACGAGACGATATAATTTTTGAGTTTCCTAAGCTGTCTCCTCTTTCCTTAAACAGGAAACGTTTCTATTACCAATCCACAAAGTAGAGCAGGACAAGAAAAGGTAGTGTCTTACTTTCCATTGCTCATGCGTAGCCTACAATTAAGGGAGCCACAATAATTATGTTATTCATATGACTAGGATATTCCTTGTTTCAACCAGTGAATAAGTTTGGCAAATGCAGTGACGTTTTCGTCTCGAGCAAAATTTGACCGAGAGGTCACTTTGTTATAAAAGAGCTTGTAATCATCCGAACAAAAAAATTCAGTGCTGCTATTTGGGCTTTTTGCTTAATACAGTTATAACTGCATGAGTAGTAGGAAAAGAATTGAAGAATTATCTCTTCTCACTCTTCTAAGTCAAGCTGCCGGCGTTAGATGCT